TAAAGAAATTTTTTTTTAAATAACGGTGGTCAAATTTTGAATTTTTAACCAGTAGTTTTTACAATTTTAATGCTCAAAAATGGCAAATTTCGACAATCTAGCGCCTTTTTTTACTACGATGGCAGAAAAGATTACACTTTCACCATGTTTCATGTTATCGACCATAAATTATAGCTGTTATGAGATGGCCAACGGTCGACAGGTACAGAAGGTAGTTATTTATAAATATAAATAAAAAAACTATAGTTTGCTAAAATACAACTTAACAGTTACAGTTTATTCGTAACCTTCATTGTCGTTGCAACTGTATTTATTTGAGGTGATAATCATAATATTAATCAAAATGTCGCCACAACCAAGTGAAAAAACTAAAATTAATACGTCGTCACATATTGCAATGAAAAATATTAAAATCAGAAGAAATCAAAGTTAAAAATGGAAATTTTATTGCTGAAAGACAATTAAAAAAACAAAATGGATACTCCAGAATTGAAAATTGTATAAACACAGAACAAGAAAACCTTCAAAACGCACAAATGGCAGAGTTCGAGTTACAAGTAGAGAATTGCTGCATGTTATTAGAAGAACAGCAACATTCAGGCAAAGAACAAGATTTCTACACATCATAACAATATTAATAAATTTTCAAATAAATCATAACTGACGCCATCGAAGCTAATATAAACGTTGTTTTAGAATCATTGTTTTTTAATACTCAAGGGGTTCCAAACTTTTTGAACGCCCTGTATGTATATTATAATTACAGCTTGTCAATACGCCAAAAGAAGGGGCGTCGGTATTTTTGGAAAACGCGTTTAAAGGTTGATGAAAATTTATTTTTCCAATTAACCATTTACAAGTGAATTACTTATTAAGCGGCACTAGGGTACGCGTTACATTGCACCGGCGTATTGACAAGCTGTAATTATAGCATACATAATTGAAAATATACATTATTATATATTATAATTGAAACTTTTTACACAAACATGTACCCCCTCACGATTTGTGCCCAGCGGGTTGGCCAATAGTAATTATTTCTTATTCCGTTATAAAATATGCGTATAACAGCTACAGGCTGATATTGAATTGGATAATTGTACATTTTAATTTATCACAAGTTACCGTAATATGAATACTGCAAGTGTAGTGTTTTAATATATTCTATTTTTTTAATACAAATGTCCAGATAGTGATTGATGATAATATCTATAGTTGATTAATATTTCTATCGCATACCTCGTGTAGGGTTCCCTTCAGTTCGACAAACGTTTTCCAAGCACAATGTTTTTTGAAGGTTGTCATTAACGTGAGATGTCGAAAAGAAATTTAAATAAATGGTTTCGCGAGAAAAAATTCTAAACAACTTTTGAAAACACTCGTTGCTAAACCAAATATTTTCTATTTGTTATTTATCACCAAGGCGATTTTTGTTACAACGATCTACGGTCTCTTAGATATGTTAGTTGTTTACGGCGGAACTCGTATTTATTATTAATAAATGTCTTTGTACAGCTTTTTTAAGCCAGGTTTTAATTAACGACATTTTTATTTAAGTAATTTCCCTCTATTTGATCGTTTTGCACATATTTATATCGTCAATTTTGTTCACCTTTGTTACATCATAAGTTTTATTTTACTTTGAACACCCAAATAGTTATCTTTTTTCAACTACCACGTTATACGGGGTTACGTACAGCCAAGTTAAAGTTAAAAACAATAACATAATGTATAGGCTTCGATTGAGAAGGTATTTATTTTTTTATAGTCATGTCCTTATTTTTTAATTTTTTTATCTAGACCCACGATATTATATAAACCGCTGAACCGATTTATGCTGGTAGAAAGCCCATAGATCATAAATCATACCACAAAACAGTACTTCAGCTTAAGATTTCCAAAAAAAGGAATCATCATTTTAATTCACTATAGCATAGTACATCTCATCAAAAATATAGCTTTTTACTTTTGACGTTAAAAGACATACTAACACTTTTTAAAGTGGTTTACTCATAGAACATTTCTCTAAGGCTATATTGCAAGGTAAAATCTAGAAATTTGAACATGTTGTATTTTTAAATCCGTCTCGAGAATAATAATATTGGTAATAATAATAATTATCATTGATTACTTTTTTATCGCATACCTTTGGAATAATTGATCTGTATGATATTTTCGATAAGATGTCAAAAACAAAACAAAAACACATTAACTAAGAAAAACTTGAAAATTACTAAAATATATCAAGAAGTAATTGTTTGCGGTAACACTCGTTGCTAAACTGACGGTTGTCTAATTGTTATAAATCGCCAAGGTGATTTTTTATAAAGATATTCGGTTTCAAAAACATATTAATATAGTTGTGTATGACGACACTACTGTATTATTTGTAAACGACTTTGTAAATGGATTTTCGTCAGGTTAATAAACACCGTCCTTATGCAATTTGTTTTCCTCTATATTATCATTTTTACATCATTTTTTTTTCATAATATTAGGTATAATTTTTTTGACGCCTCAACTTTCATTATTTAAGGAGTTTCTTTTAGGAAATTTTAAGTTAAAAACAAGAATGTATGTAATAAAACTTAGGAGGAAAAACCATGTATTTACGACTTCTTTTTTTTTACCTACTGTATTATTGATGATTTGATGTGTCTGTTTCCTATTCGGAATGCCCAAGGTTTTTTTAAATTCATTTAATCCACCAAAATTCGTTTGCAATTATTAGTTCTCCCCATACTGCATGCATAAAGGGTGATTTTTTTTATTGTGGGCCACTCAGTATCTCACTTGGTTTAATTGATCATTTCATTTTTTTTTTCCAATTTTTTTTTATATAATGTGATCTGGGAAGTTGCAAAGATAAAATTATTGCTACACTACCTTATTTCTCCTGCCCTAAAATTGGAACACCAATAAATTCAAAAATAGTTATCCAAAACTGGTTACCGACCAGTCAAAATGTTTAGTTCATTATTCTCAATTTAAACAGTGAATGAAATGTATGCATTACCATTTAAGTTGTTATAAAAATAATTAGTTTGGTAGAAAGATAATGATTTGTGGAAAATCGAGTTCACGTTATATGAAAAAAAATGCTATTATTAATTAAACCCAAAATCACCTTGTATATAAGACGAAGGCGACGACAAAGCAGATAATGTGATTAAATTTCTAAGCGAGTATATTATCATTAGTTTATAAAGTAAAATTGTTGGTAAAATATGCAGATTTATAGGTACTTATGTAATACAACAACTCATACCCAAGTACTACAGCGGTTCACAAAATTAATTAATTAAAAACTAAACACAAGAGAACAAAAAATGACTATATAAATTTAATGAAATACTAACGCTCTTTGAACAGTTTATTTTTATCAAAATAAAATTCATAGTAACTATGTAGGAAACGTAAAATAAATGCAGCTAACGAATAGAAAATATAAATTTGTATAGGTAGGTACACATATTTTTTTAGTATAAATTATAGTTTCTAATAATTTTTCTTATAAAATAAAAAAAACGTTATTAATAGTACAAAATATCTTTATGATATTTTTTATCGGTTCTTGTATGTTTCTTTTTTTAATGTTTTTATTTTGACATGTATATGTCTATTTAGAATAATACAAACATTGTTGTTGTTTAAACATAGGAGAACAAATTCGAATTTTTTTTAATTTAAATATTATGCTCAGAGTTAGGTGTGCTTAGCTGAAAGAGTAGTTGATTAAGTAAATAATTCGAAAACTCATGCTTTTGGTCAATGTGTACCTACTGGTTAGAAAATAATATATTTAATAATCATAACATAGGTATATATTTTTACTTAATTCGGTTTTACTATATTACTATTATCGTTCTAAAACGTAATCAGTTTTTACTTACCTTTAATTATTTCTTAATAAGTACCAAAAATATTAGACGGAGCGCAAAAGTTTCTTATTCGAACAACTAAAACCGCAGGTATGGTATACCACTTACCGCATACCACTCGCCTACCAGAGGAATCGGTTCGCCAGCCGCGGAATAGGTCTTTGGTGATTCAAAACATACAAATTACAAAATATTTCAAATTCCTTTCATATTTTTCTATCTGTTGAAATTATTTTTCACTACCGAATACTGGATTTTTTGTTTTTTTTAATCGGCAGTGGAAGCATAAACATTTATTTACAAAAAAACGATTTGAAATTATGCCGCCCAAGTACAACGCCGGTCGGTAATTATTATAATATTATGTCTGTGTGATTATTGTCTACACCGTGATTGAAATATACAAGGTTAATGCACATATTATGGGGTATCTTCGTCAAATGTTCTGTCCCCGTCCCATTTTCGGATGGAAGAAATTACTTTAAAATTTCCAAAAAAAATGCCATTTTGTATTAACAATAATCGTCAACACAAGCTGAAAAACTAAATATTTTCATTCCCTCACTAAATTTTGGGCGAGCGAATGAAACTTTCATCTTACTAGTTGGCTAATTATTGTTATCACTCATTAGAAACACTCTTTACAACGTATAAACAATGTTCCCAATTTTCCGCCTAAACCGACTTTGATGAAACAAAAACTAAAATAATCTGTGAATTCTCAGAAGTGTTCTTGGTTAGGTTTAACACAGCCGAGTATAGTTTATTATTATTATTATCTGTTATTGTTTATTATATTGAAATCGTTGTATTATACAACGGGAATAATTTAGCACTTTCTAGGATAATTAACCCATATAATATACCTATGTACTTACACGGTAAAATGGATATCCCCTCGCTGTGCTATTTTATTTCTCAAGAGAAGAGACGATTTGCAATAATAACCTGTATATATGTATAGTGTATAATAATATTTTGTCAATAGTCTGCAATCTGCATTGCAATTTGCATTGATAACAAATCGTATTAAAAAAAAAAAAAAAGTGATCACGAGCACATCAACAAGCGGCACGTGATACGCGTTATCACTCATTTAAAATGTTTATACCGTTTAGCTTTAATCGACGGCACTCTTATAAAAAAAAAAAAAAATGAATAGACAATTAATAATCGCATAATAGCAATAGTGTATTACAGTTATAGATTAAATTCCGTTTGATAATTTTTGCGATGCCCAATTATTTATTAACATTACATTGTACAATCGCTGTTCGCTCGGACCAGACCTTGTATGTTTTTTAATTTTTTTTTCTATTATAATAAGTATTCCTGCGACGTTATGTTATTCTTATCCGTTATTAAATGGCTCTGGTTTTGTTGCTTAGATATCTCTGACGCCCAAAATGGAAACGATTCATTTGCTCGACGGCGGTTTCACCGACGGCGTTAAACCGTACACCGACTACGAAAGTCTGATGAAACATCCGCTTTGGGGTTCGCATCTGCTGCAAGACGACGAGGAAGCCATTTACAAGTCGCACAGGGACTACATTAGAGGTAGGTGTGGATCGCCGTGTCACTTGTAATCGCAACCCGGTGAAAAGTTTGGTTACCAATTTGAAGTAAGAATACTAAAAACGCAAATAAATGTTACTAGATTAAACACAATACTGTTAAAGGTAACACGTAAAGTAGATACAATATGACAGTGTAACGGGTACATTCGGCAACCCGTTACCGCTCACCCCAGTATGTTTGCTAAGCATTTTTAAAGTAAAACAATAGGTAGGGCCCATAGCGGATGCACGCAAGACAAATAGGCAGCGGCGCGAAACGTTGATCAGTTGATCTCTGAACATCTACCGACCGCGTCCGACTTAAAATAATAATTACCTTTTGCCACAGACATTTTAATTATAAAAACATAAAAATCATATATTTTTTTTAATTTTAAACATATTTTTCATGAATATAAAAATCTTAACTGATGTGTAAAATGCTTTTGTCAGTAACGGTGCGTTTTGAATATCATTGCAATGTAATAGAACGTTTAAAATAAAACTTGAACAATTGTTTCAAAATGTGCTTTAGCCAGTTATAGCACTTTGAGAACTGTATTTTAATGTAGCAGAAGTTTTGAATAAAAGTGGTGCCTATTTTTACAAAATGTATCACTGAAAATTATTATAAACATTTTTTGTTTTACTTTAGTATAATAGTGTACATGCGTTTCGATTCTTCAATTAAATCTTTAGATAGGTATTTAATAATAAATATTTTATTTTTTGTGAATTTTTCTCACGCATCAGTCACAATATGAAATGGAAATAATTGTTCAAATGTAATATAATGCAGTTTGATGCATATTATAAATTGCTTACAAGAAAAATATTTTATAAATTCCTTAATATATGTATGTCTGGAAATGTCATTGACATTTTTTTTTTCATAGCCGGTGCTGACATGATAACGACAAATACATATCAAGCGAGCATTAACGGTTTTAAACAACATTTGGGCTTGGACTACGACCAAAGCTACGAACTGATCAAGAAATCCGTGCAGTTGTGTCGTCGAGCCATACAAACCGAAAGTTCTGGTAAATTTGGCTCTCTTTATTTGTCAGTTATTATTATTATTATTTTAGTAAATAATTAGAAACAACCCACGCTTCAGGACGATCGGTGAAAATATTGGGTGCGGTTGGACCGTTTGGCGCTTCCATGTGCGACGGTTCCGAGTACCGAGGAAATTATATAGACGACATGAGTTTGCAAGAGTTAATCGACTGGCATATGCCCAGGATTCGTGCGCTTATCGAGGCCGGAGTCGATTATTTACTTTTCGAAACTATTCCTTCGATTAAAGAAGCCGAGGTTTTGTTAAAGATACTTTCCGGTTTTCCAGGACAGAAAGCTTGCTTAGCGTTCTCCTGTAAAGTAAGTATTTGTTGAAATTTACATTGACGTTAAAATCATTAAATTTGCTTTTTCGCAATTTAAATAAAATAAAATTGTTATAACTTAAAAAAGTGTATTTAAATTTAAAAAAAATTAACAATTACATTTAGTTTGTCGACCGAGTATTTATTTCCATACTATCTTAAATTATATTAAAGTTTCTCTTAACAAAGTCGGTTCGTTTAAACTTTCTTATTTTTACATATTAAAACACAATTCCTTAGAAAGGGGAAATTTAGGATTTTGTCGTTAGCTATTAATTATTGTTTAGCTTTTTGTAGTATGTTTTTTTTTCTTGATTGGTTACTTTGTTTTCACTTGTAGGATGAAACGCACATTAGTCACGGAGAAACGTTTGCCAGTGCCGTGGAACAATGTTGGACGAACAATGCTTTCCGTGAACAACTGGTCGCCGTCGGTTTTAACTGTGTACCGGCACGTTATATTTCCTCGCTTTTGATGTCGGTTCAAACGAAGAACGTACCATTTATCGTCTATCCGAACGGAGGTGGCGTTTGGGATGCCGAAAACAAGTTGTAAAGCACACAATATCAAAAACAAAGTTTTAACGATTTCTATAATGTTGTTATGTGTGTTTTCCTTCCAGCTGGGATAACACAAAATCGTATACAATTTCCGACAAAGATTTGACACTGTGGAAAAGTAGGGGACTTAAAATATTGGGCGGATGTTGCATGTGCACCGCTAAAGACATTTCACATTTTAGAGACTTAATCGACGACGTGTCCAAGTAAGACGTCCGGATTTAACGTTATATAATATAATATTAAATAGTAAATTCATTTCGATTGTAAATGAATGTATATTGTTCATTCATGTTTCTTCTTTTGTTTTGTCTAAATTTGTAAAAGTTTTCTTTATTAAATTGATGTAAAAAAAAATTATATTCTAGTTAAACTATGTAATTACTCTATCAACGTTTACGTAACCGTCTAAAGTCCATCGATAAAATATTACTCTTTATCAGCAGTTATATTGGTGCAAACTTAACAAGTATTGCTTACAAATTTATATCGATAAAAGCATCGTACCCCTGATGACAAGTATGTGCTTGAAAATGAATTTTTAGTATCCGAGTGGACACGATTAGGGTTGTTCGTCTGTCTGTAATAATTTATTGACATAGTTATCCGTATTACCTAATAATATTATGAAAATATTTTCAATTACCCGTTGACTAGTATTTACACATATTAAATATATTTCATACAAATTTGGAATAAATTTGACTATTTTTAAAAAATGTTATGAGGCGCCAAGTTGGAAAATATATATCTTTTTTTGGCGTTTTTCTAGATTTTGAAAGGTTTTTATTACATTTTTGGCTCAATTATGATTACCTTTTAGACACGATTTCTGATCTCTGGAGTCGCTATACGAAGAAAACGGTTCAGAAGACACCGTGGGTCCAGAAAAAAAATAATAAAAACACATCATTATATATATATATATATATATATATATATATTTTATATCATCCATTCTTAATAAATACTAATACTTTTGGAATTCGGCGAGTAACAATATTTTCAACTACTGTAACGTTTTCTAAAACAGTAACTTCTTCTTCTTCAGTAATAATTTTTGTCACCACAAAAAATAATGTTCACATTTCATGGTAAATATAAAATTGTATCCATTTTTTTTTTTTTTTTTGTTAGAAAGTTATATTGACAAAATATAATACTTAACATGCTATAAGCACAGATTGGATACAATTTTATCTAATCTGTGCCATCAATCGGCGTAGAGCTTTTTTAATATGGTCCGAAAAGTTCAAAACTCTTGTCATTAACTTGAAATAATTGCAATATTTGAAAAAAGTTTCAAAACAAAAAATATCCATGAAACAGTGCCGTGAGACGGTTTTAACTAAATAAAAAAAATTATTATAATATTAATAATGATTTTAAACTAACCGACCACACTTAGAATGTACATAAATTAATGCTGAAAAAAAACATTTGAGTTGTGTGAATACATTTTTTTAACATTTTTCTTATTGTCTCATTTCGTTATTTTTTTTTTTAATCGGTAGTTTTCTAACCTTGGGTCGTTTTTAATATATCTATAACAATTAAAAATGCCCAATTTAAAATATTGTTATAACCACGAGTTAAATTAATTATTTAATCACTTTTTTTTTATATCATTGTCATGGTCACAAAAGGTGTATAATAATTTATTTTTTCATAAAGTTGCTTTTATACAAAAAAAAAAATAAAAATAAAATACTAACAATATTATTTTTAAGGTCACGACAGGTTTATTTTAATTTTCAAAAATGATTCTATTAGAATTTTTTTTTTTTAAACCCACTACATAATATGCACACATTGACTGTAGTCTTACTTCTATTTTTCTAAATGTCCTTATAACTTCTCTAACGTCGTCTTCTTATATTTTTTTAACTGTCGTTTTACAAAAGACTAAACTTATTCCTTATTACTATTATTCTTGAATTTATGACGAGTAAATCCAATCGAAATGTTTGACTTTTAGTTAATATTTGTATAGTACAATTATTTTACGATTGGACTATATTCGATACTATGGAAAACAAAGCGGACCGTTGGCTTGGGTTGTTGGAAAACTCAAAAAGCAACACCAGTTTTGCCCACGATAGTATACTGATAAAAGGTCGGTGCTCTTCGGTGGCACGCGAATACTGGACACATTGGATCACCCTATCTGTCTTACTATTCGCCATGTACTTTGTGATCTGCAAGTATTTAGAGGTAGGTACTCTGGCACTCCCATTAACAGAACTACAGGGTGCATGGGGTGTACCCGAGTACACTCATCTTGTGTCAAGTAAATAAAACTAAAAATACATATTATATTAAGCAAAAAACTACACTACGAGGTCATTCATTAATCTATCAAGGGTAAAAATCTCATTTTCTCTTAATAATTATTATTCGTTTTTTATTTAAATACATAAATTCGTTTCATTGTTTAATATTAGACAATATTCAAATGTAGACCGATATTAGTAATTTCCAAAGCGCCATCGACATACTTTTGGTAATGTATACTTTTAAAAAGTTTATTTAATTAAAAATAATTTGCTGATAATGTTAACTAGTCAATAACGAAGTCATTATTTTTTAAGATGTTAAAGTCGAACATTTTAGACGACAATTGTTTTTAATATAAGCTCTGAAAATTACTACATAAAAAATGGAATACGTAAAATAAAACAAACTAAAATAATTTCAAATTGAAAACTACGAAAATTTCGAATATTATTCTTAAGACAATGCGCTTGTACAAGGTGCAAATTAAAAACCTCTCAAATGGGAGTATATATTATGTATAATAGTCATTACTATGTTAAAGCCAATGCATAGCAATTTGTTAGAAAAAATTTATTAATTTTCGAGCTAAAGTTATGAATTTTAATATTTAAAAATAAGATTTATTCTTTTGATATCAAGATGTACTAGGGCACACGCCCTGTAGTTCCTCTACAGCGATTTGGCGAACAACGCCTCTACACGTTCTGTATACTGATGTGCACACTCTTTCTCTGCGAAGTGGTCGTACTACGTGAAGCGTAAGGAATATTTCACTGATTGGAAGTGCCAGCCAAAAAAATGGCCAGAACGAAACACTTTGCTGAACGATATCAGAGTCAGTCTCATCGCGCTGTCGACCGCCACTGCCACGGTATCGGTTTATAGCACATACTTGGTTTGTGGTGGACACAGTCTACTTTACTTGGACGTCAGCTCTTATTCTTGGAAGTGGTGGATTGTTCAATGGCCGCTGATATACTTTTCCCAGGTATATATTAATTTTTGTTATTTGTGCACGTCAAAAGGGTTCTTGATTTACCCTTTGCTTAAAAATATAATTTCGTTAAAATTACATCCTCTCAACTGTCACCATTCAATGCCATAAGCTGTTTCCTAGCCGTATCCGTTAATATCCAGGCTCCTCCCAGTCCGACTCCGAGGGCCCAGGAGTTGTGAAGATCTTACGTCCTTACCCAAACTGCCCTCAGTTACCCACTCCTCGGTGGTTGTTGCGGTATGAAGTTATTGTACTAATACCACGAGTGCAGTAAGAAAAGTGTGAACGCACAATTTCAGAGTCATGAAAGTTCTGCTTCTTTTAGCTTTTGTAGGTCATCTAGCCTTACAGCACAGTTATTCCACTACAAACTTAAAGATTCTTCGGTTCTACACTCCATGTTCTGGACATCTTCTCTCCGGGAATAGTATCACACCCTCTTCTTTGTTGCTGCCAATTTGTTGAATCCATATGGCTTTGCTGTGGCTATCCACATGTAAACGTTGATTGGCTTGAGATTATCAAGAAAAAGTTTTTCAGTCGAGTCTGCAACCACGAAAGAGCATTTTCATGTCTCGTTGAAGTACTGAATAAATTAAGAGTAGTGGTGGAATTATAGATAATGATATAGTATATTAAGAAGCAGTAATAAGCTATTATTTTAAAACATCAAATGTCTGGCTAATATTGTAGTGCTTAATATTTGGCTTAAAACAATGCATAGAGAATTTGGGCCCTTAATTTATTTTGAATTTATTATTTAGTTCTAATTTGAACGTTGAACGTACAACATATCTCTTATCTCTTATCAGATAACAGCGTAACGCTTTTTAGGTAACGATTTTTTGATAACGCTGTTTTCGTTACTCTTTTTTTCGGTTATGTACCGGCTATTTCTCACACCTATCTCCCACCCCCCACCTCATCTTCATCCCCATTTATTTTTTGGTAACGCATTTTCCGTTATAATAATTTTGTTATAATATTTTCGTTATAATATTTTCGGTTATGTGCCAGAGCTAAGACATCAAAATGTCAAAAAATGTATAGTTGGTCTTGGGGTTTATTTTATTTTTGACATTTTCATGTCTTAGCTCTGGCACATAACCGAAAAAATGATAACGAAAAATGCGTTACGCTGTTATCTGATATGAGATAAGAGATAGGGGTGAGTGATAGGGGTGAGTGATAGGGGTTGGAAGGTAGGATGGAAGATATGGGGTGAGTGATAGGGGTGGGAGATAGGGGTAAGTGATCAGGGGTGGAAGATAGGGGTAGGGGATGGGGGTGAGTGCTAGGGACGGGAGATAGTGGATAAGGGATAGGGGTAAGATATAGAAGATAAGAGATAAGAGATATGTTGTACGTTCAACGTTCAAATTAGAACTAAATAATAAATTCAAAACGGTTTAAGGGCCCAAATTGTTTATGAATTGTTTTAAGCCAGATAATAAACACTAAAATTTTAGCCAGAAACTTGACGTTTTAATATACTAGCTTGTCACTGCTTCTCAACGTACTATATCATTATCTACAATTCCACCACTACTCTAAATTTATTCGGTACTTCAACGAGACATGGAAACGTTCCATCGTGGTTGCAGACTCGGCTGAAAAATGGCTGATTTTTTTTTTTTTTTTTAACTACTCTATTCCGCAGGATTACGTTGCATATTTGATACACCGGACGAGTCATAAGGGATTTCTATACAAGCACATGCACGCCTACCACCACCGACACCGTCAACCGTACCCGTGGAACGCTTTTTCAGTACACCCGATTGAAATCATAATCCACTCATTGACCGAGTTAGCAGTGTTGTTCGTCGTACCAATACACTGGCGTGAGTACAGTCTGTGGCTGGCCAATGCTGGAACATGTAGTCCTATGTTAAGCGTGGAATATTTAATATTGTCATTATTAATAATATTTTTCTGTGATTTCATTGTGACTACGGCCGTTTCAGTTCCTTACGCCACGATAACGTTTTACTCGTTTTACCACAACATCATCCAACATTCTGGCATCGATTTCAAACCGTCGCGGTGGCAGCTATGGAAACCAGACGTGATGTTCCACGATGTTCACCATGTAAACGGCAAAGTCAACTTCGGTGCAACCTGCTACGTGTGGGACAAAGTAAACTATTGCGACGAATACCCTTAAAAATAACGAATACCTTAAAAAAGTTTCAATTTAAAAAAACAGGACAGGAGGTAGAAAGTGGTTGAGTGGTGTACACAGATAAAACAACCTAAAATTATTTTCATAGGAATAATATTTCTCATTACTTATCTCTGATCCTTAATATCTCTTTTTTCTAATATCTTTTTCTCTAACCGAATGGGAAAATATAACGCGAAAATCATTGATATTTATAACAATACAGGTCTGGATTTCACGAAATTGTTTGTACAACATTGTTAAATGGTTAAATTATCTAAATTAAAATTAATTACTGTGACATAGGGTTTGACACATTTGATATAATAATGAAAAATTCCGTACAAACCGTTTTAGGCGAATCAGTCGAGCGCTGCTAGTAATGTTTGCTTATTTTTTTCTGTTTATAGATTCATGGTACCATGAAAACCCGGTCTTCGGAAATATCCAAGGACCCGACGCAGTGAAAATATGAACATTTGGTGACGTTAAAAAAAATAAAGGATAGATATATACATATATATTATATATTTTTTGTAAAATTTAACTTTAGGACATACCGTGTAAATATTGTTGGTTTATGGTTGGTTTGGTTAATAAAACCAATAACTTTAAAGATAAGGTGTTTTTTAAATTTTATTTTTTAATATTACATAAATCATAATTTTTATCGTTTTTAAAAATAATGACTTAGATGTTCAACTGTCGAGATAATAATTTTGTGCACGAGATTGACACAATGTGACTTTTTTATTGTCATTTCTAAGATCGATGATAAATATAAGGTAAACGGTTTTATATTTAGATTCTCAATAACATTCTGAATATATTCTTCTGTATTTCATTTAAATACAGTAAAGTGTGTAAATTGTCACATTGTGGATAATTAATTTGATTAAATTTGTTTTTAAAAACAAATTTTGGCCAAAGACTTTTTTTTAAACATGTTTAGTTATATGTTAAATACCTATTTTCAGACTAATTGAAATAAGCTCTTTTGTCCTAAAATAAAAAAAAAACATTCAAATTACTTAATCAACCCCTTACGGGAAAACGATAAACGCAGGTCCTTGAGTTACATAATTACCATTTTAACTATAGTACACTAATACAACTTGTATTATACATTTTAGCTAAAGTCCTGTGTTGTACAAAGCCAACGTTACATATTCTTTCATTAAACACATTATTTCACATTACGACAAATTCCAGTTAGAATCGTCTTATTTTACCTTTACAAGTAGTCATAATTGGCAAAAAACCAAATGTCTATAGTTTTACATTACATTTTTTAAGTTTAAAGTTGCGCTATTTGGTGCCTACGCGCAAAATCTACTTAAAAAATATCATATTATATGATTTGTTGTTTGCCGAAAACAAGTGGTTTTTTGAAACGTATTCTGTTTTGCTAACTAAACAAAAACATTACATACATTTTTAAATGTGAGTTGTAAAATGGAATAACTACTTAAATCCAATAAATCCAGGGACGAGGGAAAGGGTGATATTCACTCTACGCCAAAATAAAAATTATAACCTATCTATTAGAAGGATTTCTAGAACTATACACTGGATCTGGGTCTCAACAATTTCCGGTTACGTTACTTGATACGACCTATGTATTATGGATAGTACCAATTGTTTATATTTTATGAACTTAAACAATATATATGTCGTCTGTGCCATATATCGTAATCAACTAATGTATGACTAAAATGTTATTCAGATGAACGATGAATGTGGAATTTATTCACACATAGCAACCTGGAAATTTAATCGGTTAAAATGTAAATTTCCCCCATTTATTTGCGGTTTTTCCTTAGTGGAAAACAATTTGTCAAGAGATTATTAAGGCGACTATATGTGTTATATGGCGCTACAGTGAACTACCTTATAGTGTAATTTTCTGACCTTAAGTTTCTAATTACCCTCTAAAAAGTTATACACAGAGCATTTGAATCGCCAGACAAATTTCTTCGAGTAACATATTATCTCTATGGATCACACATCGTCATGCCGTGCCCCTACGACAGTGACCTTAATTTTAAATTTTACTTTTTTCTCACCCCCTCTCTCCCCTCATCACGGGCGATGGTAATTTTTTTGTTTTATAGACGTAATTTTAAAAGCTTATAGTTGATAATTAGTCAGAAGGTAGGGCTCGTGTTTATCCATATGAAGAGTGAAAGTGTTAAACGTTCCAAGTGCCAAAGTATAAAAATTGTACTTTATAATTTGATTTGTATTTTATTCACTACCGGAAACAATTTTGTAAAATTTTCAAGTAAAGAATAGTTATTTATAAAAAAAAAAAATCATATTTAAAACTCAAAAATATGTTAAAGGGTTTCCGGTAATGAATAAAATACAAATCAAATTATAAAGTTCAATTTTTATACTTTGGCACTTGGAACGTTTGACACTTTCATTCTTCATATTATCTTAACTTTAGTTTTCATACAGTAAGTTTTTAAACAGTACCAAATATATAGATTGGGTAAAAGGGTTAATGGTATTTTCTGGGTTCAACAGACTGTGTAAATCTGTATTTAGAACGGTTTTAAATATTTTGCACACAACATTATTGCACGCTGTATTCAAAAATTGTATAGTTGTTTATCTTAAAAGGTTGTAGTAACCTATGGACTAAGAAGAAGTGTTTAGTGTATCGAAATCGCACTAAAATAATGAAAATGCCGGGCTTAAATTTTTGTAAAAATGTACCATATGAAACCTTAGTCATTAGTGCATTATGATAAAATAGACTTGCATTGTTAAACCGTATTGTAAAACAACAATGTTTAATTAGCATTGTAAACTACTGTAGGTTTTTAAATTTAACCGTTCAGTGTAACCTATATACAATTTACACCACTAGCGTGAAAAAATATTACTCATATGACGTTATATGACACTTTGCTGCGAAACTAAATAAATAAGTTGGTAAAAAAATAAAAAAGTTTGGCTGTTATTTTGAAACTAGGTTTTAGAACCAAAACCCATACGTTTTGTGCGTTGCTTACAGGTTTAATCGCAACAATAGTACACGAAATAAATGTACTCGATTCGACCAAACATTTGACAAACAATGAACGCATACACAAGAACAATACATGAACCAATAAATGTACACTCCTACATCGCCTACGAAATAGTAAAAACGCATATCTCCTTCTATATAGTGCAAGCAGCAAACGTACTGTTGCTCTAGTATAGTGTTCTACGTTCTTGGTGTTTAATATAACAATAACTACTCGAATAAAATGAATTTGAAACGCATAATTTGTTTTTTAACCACCATATTTTGCATAATGATGCCGGCGTATGCTCGAGAAGGTATAAAAAACATTTTTAGTATATTATAGTTTTTTTTTTTTTTTTTATAGCATCTTCGGCCAACAAAATTATTTCAAATATTTTGAATACTGTGGTTGTTTTTACCAGATTTTTCAAATTGTCTATGAAATTTTACCTTTTTTATACCTCATTAAAACTACAAATACTTAACGACCAAAGCCAAAATAATCAAAAAAAAAAAGGGGGAACATTATTTTATTCAAATACATAAGTAGCATCAATTCGTAATGGGTATACCTATCCATATTTTGACCATACATTTATTTCTAAAAAAATGTCAATTTCTGATTTATTATAACATTTGGATTTTTTTTGTTAAGAAAATTTATATCAAACCAAAATTGACAATTTTCTGAATTTTTTGTAGTCGAATTCACGTTTTTTTTTTTTTTTGCAAACTTAACATTTTTTTTTTTTTGAATATAGAAAAATATTGACCTAAGAATCCATTTAAAAAAAACACATATTAAAACAACTGTGTACTTAGCCCTAGAACTAAATGAGCCATATGATGCATTGGGACGAATAAAATATTAAAGTAATTTTTTTCGATATCTTAGATGATCCACGTAACCCATCACCCGAGTACCGTAAGTTTTTGAGACTGCCATAACTTACATAACTAAAAACAACTAAAAATAATTACACCAGTATAGATACTTGAAAATTAAAAATTAACTTGGAAAAACAATTAATTAAGTTATTTTGTCTGTGTTTCAGCACAAGAGCGAATAAATCCACCTGGTAAGTCTTGAGACTTTAATAAAACTTATGTAGGTTATAAATGTGTAATTCAATATGCAAAGATTTTTATTTAAAACGGAAACACCTTGTACTTATTACCTTTATAAAGGAGCCTAACTTAAATAAACCGTCTGTTACGCAATATTTTAATATTTTGTTTTAGCTTACAGACGACAGTCAATTTACCAACAAAGCTACAGACAGCCACCTGGTAATTTAATCAGCACTAGACAAATTTTTTTTTAATTGCCAAATAAATGTGTTATTTGAAGATGCAGATTTTGTGAATCTAAATACAAGCACGTGTACATCTGTATTTAGAACTGCTTCACATATTTTCAAATTAACTGTAGGTTTTTAAATTTAACCGTTCAGTGTAACCTATACACATTTACAATTTTTTTATGGAGATCCCAATTTGAAACTATGTACACATTATGTAAAATTTCCTCAGCATTCTGATGAAAATATCGCGAACAATTCTCAATTTTCGGGCAATACAAAAATTATAACGTCTTAGCCAATAAACACAATTTTAATGACTTTCTGTTACGCGAAAAAAAAATTAACATTTTTTTCAGAAAGCTGACATTATTTTACACGAAAACCTGATTTGTAATTTTTTGACGGCCGAAGAGACTATAAAAAAAAGTAGTGTCAAGAAAAAACTACAAATACTTAACTACCAAAGCCAAAATAATCAAAAAAAAAAAAAAGAGGAACATTATTTTATTCAAATACATAAGTAGCATAAATTCGTAATGGGTATACCTATCCATATTTTGACCATACATTTGTTTCTAAAAAAATTTCAATTTCTGATTTATTATAACCTTTGGATTTTTTTTGTTAAGAAAATGTATATCAAACAAAAATTGACAATTTTCTGCATTTTTTGTAGTTGAATTCACGTTTTTTTTTTTGCAAACTAACATTTTTTTTTTTGAATGTAGAAAAATATTGACCTAAAAATCCATTTAAAATGAACACATATTAAAAAAACTGTGTACTTAGCCCTAGAACAATGAGCCATATGATGCATTGGGACGAATAAAATATTAAAGTAATTTTTTTCGATATTTTAGCTGAGCCTACACGTAACTCACGACCCGAGTAAGTTTTTGAGACTGCTTTAACTTATATAATTAAAAATTATTACACCAGTATAGATACTTGAAAATTAAAAGTTAACTTGGGAAAACAAGTATTTAAGTTATTTTGTCTGTGTTTCAGCACAAATACCACCACTAGCAACTCCACCAATACCGATACCAGTACCACCACCAATCCACCTGGTAAGTTTTGAGACTTTAATAAAACTTATTATATAGGTTATAAATGTGTAATTCAATATGCAATTTTATCATTCGTTTTTCAAATGACTGTTACTTGAATGATATTGTAAGTTTTCGCGCTTTACAAAGATAGGTACTAGCGGTTTTTTAATTATTTTCAATTAAGCTGAAAATGTTAAACTATAATATTTACAATTTTTTTATAATCAATTATTTTATACATAATAGTGTATCTGATATTTTAAAATCACAATTATTTCGAAATGTAAACAATGGATAATAGTAAACCCAAAGATTTTTATTTAAAACGGAAACACCTGT